ACGGACTTAATCGGAACTATCTCACGACAGCGAGCTCTGGGCCATCAATTCCATAGGTCCTCGGTCGGGTCTTTCTGTGGCGAGACTAAGGCCTAGGTGGAATCCACTGCTGCCTCCTCAATTATCCCTCATCTTGACCTGTGCCATTCTCGGGATTTTGAGGAGTCTGTTCTTCTGAAATGCACGACCCAGTGCCACGAATAGACAGTCGAAAGTTCTGGGCCTATCATCGATCGGCTTTTACCCGATAACGCGCTGGAATATACGCCTGTACTCCAGTGCGGATCGACGTATCCGGCCTTCAGCATGGTACTACTTCGGAAGCGTGACGGGAGAGGCTTTGCATGTGCTTGGTTCTATTCGTTGCATTCGTGGCTTCTGAATTTTCCCTGCTCTCATGTCTCAAGTCATTTATTATCCTAGACTAACTCCAAATCGCCATCCACTCTGGGAATTCAGTAGTCTGGGCCATACCTGGCTACATGTTCCCAGGCTCTTTCTCAATCCAAATCTCCGTCGTTATCTCCGTCACCATCCCCGTCTCCCTGGTGGTTGTCGGCCCTTCCGTTTCCGTTATATGCCAGTAAATTCGGGCTTCCAGCGGTATTAGTGACTACGTTCCGCGTGGCCAATGCCTTCAGGCGGGCTGTCACCGCAGCTGGCGTAGACAGGTTCTCAAGCGCCATGAGGTACATGGTCAAGCCAGCAACGTGGGGCGTGGCCATTGAGGTCCCCGAGATGCTCCGGGTCGTTGTGTCTGATCCTATCCAGGAGGAAAGAATATCCTCGCCAGGAGCAAAAATGTCGACAAAAGAGCCATAGTTGGAGAAGTTGGAGCGCGAATTACGTCGGTTGATGGCAGCAACGGTAACAGCATCGGGCGCAGACGCGGGGCTCGTCCGCGAGGCATCTCTCTATTTCCCTTCAGCAATCACTCAAAACATGAGGCTGTGAGCACGTACATTCTCGTTGCCTGCAGCAACAACAGAGAGCACTCCCTCATCGAAAGCATTTTCGACCGCATCGTTGAACGTGCTGGAATAGCTTCCACCTATACGCGTAGTCAGCGAGAATATCAACAAAGAACACAGAGAACATACCCAAGCTCATATTGATCACGGATTTGCTCGTGCGATTCTTGCTCACGATATCATTGACAGCCCAGTTGAAGCCATCGAGGATGACCGAGGTGGAGCTGGATTCTCCCACAAAGACCTTCACCGAAACCAGAGTCGCTCTCTTCGCCACGCCGTACGTTCGCCCACCAATGATACCGGCAACATGGGTCCCATGTCCGACACCATCAACATGCTGTCCGCCAGCAGCATTGTATGCCAAGAGGACGCGACCACCGAATTCGTCATGAGAGCTCAAGATGCCTGTATCTACGATATAAGCATAGGTGCCAATTCCGGCGCTATCGTCATAGACGTAGTCAGTGCTAGTTTGTCCTCGATGGGAGATGCATCCTAGACCCCACGGCGCGTTGCGCTCGGTGACCAGTCCGTCAAGATCCCAGACCTGGTCTTCCTCGACGTTCGCAACCTATGAATGAATTAGATACCGCCATTTGTGTTTGGAAGGTCAACAAGAACAAACATCTGCGTGTTGGCGAATGGCCGCAATGGTTGCATCGTCGAAGGAACCGGCGTATGCAGCGAACCTGTTGATTTTGTAGTATCTCTCAATGCCAGCTGGAAGGTCTCCCTCGATAAAACTACGGCCTTCGAGGTGCCGCCTGTGAAGGTTGGTCGCCCAAGCTGTATGCTCGTCGATCTTGGCATCGTCGGTTCCCGGCTTGAAGGTGACAATATATTTGCCCGGAATCGTCTGCAGAGTCTGGCGACTTTCGAGAGTCGGCGCAGCAAGCACGGCAGATAGAAGGGGTCCGAAGACCAGCAAGAAGCTTCTCAATGAGACCATGGTGAATCAGGCAAAGTGGGAGGAAAAATACACCTCTAAGAAAATTCGAGCAATGCACAAGCGTGCTAGGGCACTCGGCCTTATATATCTCCACCATTGCGAACTTCGTCTAGAACTGTTAGCCTATCACTTACAGGGCCGCCTGCCTTGCAAAAGAGCGAGACCAGGGCCTAAGATGTCTGAGCATATTCAAAACTCTGGGGGTAACATTGCATTCTCAGACGACTTGGTTATATCCTATTAGGCAAGACGCCATGCACACCATGGGTGATTTTGGGCCGACGCAAAGGACCAGGGACGGCGGTGACAAGCGGCGCAGAGCTTATTTCTCCGACCCCAGAAAGGCCTCGAGTCGAACCAATTTGGGCACATCTACCAGACTGAATGGCATACATTCATTCATGCAAGCCTTGTGGCTTTAACGGTTCCACTGCTGGCGTGCCATGGCCGGACATGTCGTATTGAGAACAACATCTCTTATTCGTTTACAGACGAACTCTGAATTATACAATCAAAGAGATAAGTAGGAAAAACTCTCGTTGCCAGGATGTTGCGCAAGAAGCCCTGGAAAACGGGGTAATGCTTAACCACTTGTCCGAAAATCGGTGCGACCCACCCTGGGTAGCTGATTTCTCACGAGGTGGAAACCATTGCATGCGCTGATTATCTGTCAAGCAAGTCTGGTTACCGACTGGGCGATAAGAGATTATCAGTAAACAAGAAAGTGTAGAGACCACGGCCTAAGGCCATTCCCGCACTGCCCTTCTGGGTTCAAGGGTCGCACAGTAAGCTCAGGCGCGTTGATCATCCACTACAGACTGGGTTTCTAGACGATCGACCCCTTTTGTAGGGCGAGGAGCCAGCTTGCCGGTCCGACGTGCTTGTGATAACGCGAGGCCCCTACCACCAAGTCAGTTACGAAAGCTTGGTACGACCAACCTGCCCCTGAGGATGCGCATGTGCCTGAGGAAGTCTTCTGATGTGTTGAAACCTAATCATGGCCTTGATGCGAATCTGACTGAAGAGGAGGGCAGTTGGGCAAGTGGTTCATTGGTGGTCATTCCTCATCGAGCCGTGGCGATGGGGTTCACGACGGCCAAGACAGCTGACGGTAGTTCAGTTGGCGAGGCATCTGGAAGTCTGGTTTAGCACAATTTGACACTGGTAACGGAGTCGTCGACTCCTTTGATCAAGGGTAGCCATCAGGAACAGGTTCCAGCATTGAAGACGCCAATACCTGTGGTATGGTTCTAAGATCACTCGCAGCGTACATCTTTCGCAACTCTGCGGGGGAGCAGGTCGATGGCCCTCTCCTGTCTGCTTCTCTGCAGGGTCTGGATGCAGCCAAGCCCCTCGCACACGTCTGGTGACGGAGGTTTTCTGAACGGGCCTTGGGTGCAGTTCGAATAGGTACGGTTGCATCAAGGCAGCCATCGAGACTGTCGTGACCGCATTGGAAACCCCTCGAGCCAGTCGGATAATTTTATCGGGTGCAACAATTGGAAGTGGGAGAGGAAGTTTGGTGTAATGGGAAAGTGTGGCAGGCGCGGTCTGACCGGAGTTGTTGTTGTGTTGGTTGCACCGAGTCCCGTGATCCCGCTGGCTGGTAGGAGGTTTATGTCAGGCACAGGACAATCTATTGGACCGCACAGCATGCTCTTCAGCGCTGAATACTATGTGAGAACCGATTCAATAACTTAGTGTAATAAGGAAGTAAACAAAATAAGGAGAGAGGATATGTCAAATTCAGTAGCGAACTATCTCCCTCTTTCTCTTGACATGCGCAGGCTTCTCTCATCTGCAGCCATTTGCATGCATGCAACTATCCACCCTCTGTCCAATGACGCCGCCTAGAACATTTGACACCTAAGATCCCCCCTTTACAAAGACTTCTTCCCCGCAAACCTCTTGTCCGCCTCCTGGTTAGTGAACGGGAAGCCACTGCTCCGCTTATCGACACCAGTCTTGCGGTTGATCTTGCCCCCGCTGCTCGCAAACAGCGCGCACCACACCCCGACGAAAGCAATGGCGGCGTATCCGATCATCCCGACCGCGTAGGCGATCTGGCCCGTAGCCACATACCAGATGTATGCGTAGCCCGCTGACGCGCCGTGGAAGACGGTCGTGACCATCATGGTCGGCACGGCATAGGGGGCCTTGGGGTCGGAATCATCCGTGGTGACGGGTTGCGCGATGGAGGTGGTCAAGGGCACGGACCCGGTGAGCATGACGGTGAGAACAGCGATGAGGAGTAGACTGAATCCCAAGCAGCGGGAGAAGTATGTTTCGAGCGCTGTTGCGGATTAGCCACGACAGCCGATAAGACAATCTGTTTGGCGGTTACTCACAGGAAGGGTCGCGGGTTTCGGTCAACAACATTGTGGTCATCATCTCCGGCACCGCGATCAGAGCCAAGCTCTGCAGTCCAAGCCAGCCGGCAGTGGAGTAGGTGTAGGCGTAGAAAACCTGCGGCGCGCGAATCGGTTAGCTCTGTGGTATGGTGAGAGACCGGGAGGAGGACAGTCGTACATCCATGATGCGGGAGTAGGTGATGCCTTCTGGCGAGGTTCAATTGTGTTCTGGGTTAAGAGTGTGTGTAAACTGTTCGGTGATCACGTAGGTGAAGGTAATTAAAACCAGCATAGGCAGCAATTAGTGGTAGTTATAAGTTGTTGTAAGGCAGGGATCATTCCCCATGAGGTCATCGCTTGTTCAGCTCCGATGATGTCACTGCCGGCTTTTCCGCTGATTCAGCCTGGCTCTTTTTCTCTACGTATTCATCTGTTGTCACTACAACGAAATTCAGGTGAATAAATGGAAAAAGCAAAAAAGGGGAAAGAAGACGAGCTTCCAAGTTCCAAGCTGCCAGTCCATAGGGCAGCGGCGGGTTGCTGCAGGTTGACTGAGCTGGCACTACCACACCCACTATCATCAGACCATCTACCCCAGGCACATCCACAACAGCTATAATTCTGATCTGTTATTGTTTACAGCCAAGCCGTGAAGGACGATCAACTCTTTCCAGCGTGGACTAGATGGATTCGTGTTTGGAACTGGATCAAATTGCAATTACCACACCCGAATCTTCATTCACGAATCATCATTGTCTATGTAAATTGCCATGGCTAGATTCAAGTCTCCACCATCAACGCCTTTTCAAACCCCCAGAGAAAGGAAAAACGTACAAGGTCGACTCATGGTCAGGTATCACTGGTTGATGTTGCTCGCGCGCAGGTATCTGGCAAAACTGAGATCCTGGTCGGAGGGCGCGGTGCCCTGTTCCGCCAGCGCGTCCTTGTAGCGCTGCGTAAGCCCTTCACTGTCCCCGGCACGAGGGATCCTGTAGTCATCCTCACTGTCCTCATCGTCATCCTGGTCGCCGTTCCGGCGTGCCTCCTCTTCCTCCTCAGCCTCGCTAACCGTCTCGGCCTCGTTCTCGACCTTTTGCTTGCCCTTGCTCGAGCCAGAGACATTCATATCCTTCATCAGCTTGCCCAGCTCGAGCTCGCGTTGCGCCGCCTTCTTCTCCTCACGCTCCTTCCTCTTGCGCTCCAATTCGGGCTTGTAATCGCGCTCGAACTCCTGGCGCTTTTCTTCCACAGCCTCGAAGAACTCGTCGATACCTTCACCCGTCATGGAACTGACTCCGACCAGGTTCAGGTGTCGGTAGAACTCCTCCAGCATCAAGCTCATGCTGTTGAGCAGCGAGCCCATGTAGCCACTCCCCGAGCCAAAGCCGCCCGCGGCGCCCTCAGTACCAAACGCGCCCGACTCCTCTTCCTCTCGCAGAGCCTTCTGGAAAGCGTCAAAATCGGTCATCCACTCCTTGGCGAATTCGGCGTCTTGGACATCGGTCTTATTGAAGACAAGGATCATGGGCAACTTCGTCTTGTATAGGATACTGCAGGCGTAGAGCATGTTGCTCATGAAGGTACTCGTGGAGCTGGCGCGGGGGGTATCAATAACGTAAGCGATCACAGTAGGAAATGACGAGGCCAGAGTCTCGAGGAGGATGCTGCCGGAGGCACTCCACACGAACACCTCGATCTGACCAGGTGTGTCGACCAGGATGTGCTCGATAGGCTTCGCGGCCGGGTTGCTGGGGTTGGGAGCCGTCCGCTTCTCCAGCAACGAGATGATTTGATCGACTTTGGTGGCAAATAGGTTCAGCGATGTAAGAATACCGCCGTTGGGTCCGAGGTTGTACTGCTTCATCACTTCTCGATAGTTGATGGAGTCACGGATGTCGATGTTGCTCTCGAAAGGAACCGTGTGGACGGCGGGGTCAAGGTTGAGGACATAGGGGACGGTCTTCTTCGAGTGGAGGTAGGAGTTGATTCGCTGCATGAAAGTCGTCTTTCCAGAGCCTGAGTGAAAGATAAATCGGATTGATTAGATGCATTGTTAGTGAGGGGGATGATCGCCATGACACTTACCTGCCATGCCCACGCAGACAACGGCGACCGGAGACTGTGCCATCGTGAAGGTGAGGGAAAAGATCACCAAGCAAAGATCAAATACGGGCAGAGGGTTTAAAACAACCCAGTCAGTGGGTGTCAATAAATCTGGATAACAAGGGGAATGATGAAAGTCAGAGTGTCCGTGGGACGGCGAGGCGTAGAAATTCTTTTGTCGCGGGGGAATTGCAGGTGGAGTCCGTTTGGCCGGAACCGTTCCAGACGTCATGGCGTTTCTCCGCCGCCGCCTTTTTCCCTTGCTTCGCTTTCTCCCCTCCCAACACGAGCTCTGCCTCGCTATCATACCAACACCATGGCGCTAGAGGATTTTGAAAAGTCGCTAGCAGAGGAGCAGGAGAAAAGACGCGAGAGAAGCGATAAGGACAGACACCGCCACCACCGTGACCGAGACAGGGACCGCAGCCGCGAGCGCTCGAGGCACCACCGTCACCACCGTCGTTCATCCCGATCGAGAGAGCGCGACCACGACAGGCATCGTGAATCGCGTCGGAGCGACGATACTAGTCATCGACACAAACGCTCGCGTCATTCGACCGACCACGGAGACGATCGCGACCATGACCACAAGCGCCGACACAGGGATAGCAGGGACGAGGAAAGGAAACCCGCAGCCGAAGCAGCCGAAGTGGTTCAGGACGAGGCCCCCAAGCTAAAGCGAGATGCTTGGATGGAGGGACCGTCCAGTCTCGATATCGACTATGTCCAGCGGCGCTCGACCACGCGTTTGGAAGAGGAACCGAAACCCAAGATGCTTTCGGCAGACTACGAGCTGAAAATCCACGATCGGGAAATCAACACTCATCTACGCGATCTGAAGGACGGAAAGGTGCTGGAGGAAATTGAAGAGCAACCCGCTCAGCATGAAGTCGACTACACATTTGGCGACGCCGGCTCGCAATGGAGAATGACCAAGTTGAGAGCTGTGTATAGAGAGGCAGAGGACACCGGGTTGTCGGTGGAAGAGATTGCGGTCAACCGCTTCGGTGATCTCCGCTCGTTCGATGACGCGCGCGAGGAGGAGGCAGAGCTAGATCGTCGTGAAAGATATGGTGAAGGGTATGTGGGCAAGGACAAGCCCTCAGGCGAGCTCTTCCAAGAGCGGAAGCAACAGGAAAACGTTCACCGCGGCGCGCATGAGCACCTTCGCAGTCCTACCAAGGAGCTCAATGCTGAAGGACAGGGCAAGCCAATGGAGACCGTCCCGCCTCAGAACACCACCCAGCATCTTGATTTGACAGCACTCAACCGACTCAAGGCTCAAATGATGAAGGCCAAGCTCAAGGGTGCGTCGGATGCCGCCGAGCTCGAAGCGCAGTACAATGCTGCAGCTGCTGCTATGGCCAACCGCAAGGAGTCAGACGTCGTGGTCTTGGGCGTCATGGAGAACCGGATGCTGGCTGGAAAGAGAAACGAAGTCAAGGCGGTTGAAAACAGACGGGGCCGTGAGCGAGGCAAGGTGGAAGACAACGATGACATGACCATTGAAGACATGGTTCAAGAAGAACGACGGACGCGCGGACAATATGGGGGAGACGGCCGGCGTATCGCGGAGAGAATTGCCAAGGACGCCAAATTCGAGGTGAGGGCTTCTTTTGGCATATCGAGATTGTCCGCTAACATTCCACCCAGAATGATCTCGAATACATGGACGACAATGCATCCAAGCTTGCCCGTCGGGTGCACCGCTCCGAAATCGACATCAAGAATACCACGATCAATGAGCTGCAAAAGATGAACAAGATCCTCGACAATTGTCCCCTATGTCATCATGAAGACACGAATACGCCTCCTGTCGCACCTGTCGTCTCATTGGCGACGAGAGTTTACCTCACACTCCCCACTGAACCCGAGCTTAGCGACCAATGTGCCACCATCGTTCCCATCCAGCATCGCACGAACTTATTGGAGTGCGACGACGACGAGTGGGAGGAAATCCGCAATTTCATGAAGAGCCTGACGCGCATGTACCACGACCAAGGCCGGGACGTGATTTTCTACGAGAACGCGGCTCAGCCCCATCGTAAGCGACACGCAGCGATGGAGGTGGTCCCCCTCCCTTACAGCCTCGGCGAGACATCGCCAGCCTTCTTCAAGGAGGCCATTTTGTCGTCCGACGCGGAGTGGTCTCAGCACCGCAAGCTGATTGACACGCTTGCCAATTCCAAGAAAGGCATGGGACGGAGTGCTTTCCGCCGCAGCATTGCCAAGGAGATGCCGTACTTCCACGTGTGGTTCAGTCTGGACGGCGGGTTGGGTCATGTGGTGGAAGACGAGAATCGTTGGCCGCGTGGAGACCTATTTGCTCGGGAGGTCATCGGAGGCATGTTGGATTTGGGCCCGGAGGTGATCAAGCGGCAGGGCCGCTGGCAACGGGGCGGTGATCCACGAGTGCCGGGGTTCCAGAAGCGTTGGAGGAAGTTTGACTGGACTCGAGTTCTTGTCGAGGGGTGATTCGTGTGAAAGAATTGGGAGAGCTATGTCTTGCACAAAAGTCTTCACACGAGCTGGGGTATGGAAATGAAAAATGAAGCATAACATGACACCTCACTTTGCTCTCACTTTGTGAAGCAGTACCGTATACATCATACTATAACTTTCACTTCTTCAGATCTCTGGTCTGATCTCAGTTCTCTTCTCTCCACATCCTTCCATCTCCAACGCATCATCCTTGTTCTCATCCCTCTCACTTCCACCGCGTCATTCTCATTCTCCTTCCTCTTGAACATCCCAATAACTTCCACCCTCCACAAGCCAACCAACCATCCACATCATCTTCCACAAAACCATAAAACCAAAAGTAAAAATGACCCCCAAAGCAAACACGAGCCAAAAGCGCAAACGCACCCCGACCGAAGACAAAGCATCCAAAAAACAGCGCAAGAGGAAGACCACCGCCCTCAAAACCACGGCGCCATCATCCCCGGACACCCAAAGCCACGCCACCACACCCCCTCACACCCCAACAGCGCCCCGCTCATTCTCCCTCGAAACCTTCTCCTCCAACAAGGACCAAGCCGCCCACACCCGCCTACAGCAGCAGATCCACGCCGAAACCGAGATCCTGCACGTCTACCTCCGCAGCCTGCGCAACCAGCTCACCCAAACCCCCTCCCGCGACGTACAATATGAGATCTGCCAAGCCAACGCCAAGGGCATCGCAGCGCAGTACGCGATCCTGGGCGACCTCGAAGCGGAACTGGAGTATTTCGGACGCAGCGTCGAGCTGCATACACTGGACGAGGCGGCCGCTATCAAGAAGGAGAAGACTGGAGAGCTGCTGAGTTCGTCGATCCCGAGCTGGGCGGAGGCGGTCGCGGCATGGGGCCAGCCGGTCGTGGATCGTGTGCGGCGCGACACGCACTCCGTTCACTTCTGTACGTACCTGGGTTGGTTCGCCAGGCGGGGGTTCGAGTGGAAGACCGTCGCGAATCTGCTGGCGACGGCTGTGGTCAACCGTCTGGATGACTCACGGCGTCCCAGTCGGCTGGCCCTGCTGACGGTGGATGCGGTCTACGCGAAGAAGGAGATCCCGCGGCCGGCGCCGGTGCTGGCGGCGAAGGATGTTCTGCGCGTGGGGTGTCGGTTGGATCGGTTTGGGTTGTTGGTGCCCATGTCGGTGGAGGAGAGGGAGTGGGCGCGGTTTTTGTGAGGTGGTGGTGGGTTTATGCGGAGGTTTGAGGTGGTTGGGTTTGTTGAGAGGTGGGTTTGACATGGTCCGTTGGGGTAAGGGAACGGTTTATGGGGTTTGGGCTGTAGCAGTGGGTTTCGGTGATGATGGCCAGTTTGTGACTCAGGCTGGAAGATACTGAGGGGAGGTGAAGGTGTGGAAGCGTTGAAACATGTCAAGCAGATTTATGAGCTATCAGGAAATGGAAGGCACGGGCTCGCGATTCTAAGTGAAGTCTCCTTCGTTGATGTTCTCGAGCAAACAGCTTTCTTGTCACCACTGTCATCCACAGTGATCTACGTGAAGAAAAGCTCACAATGCTAATCGCAAAACTGCATGGCATGCATATCAAATCTAGATCGGCCCATTCGAGTCTTGCAGGTGTAAAGCGTTGATCAGCACGTCAGCTTAAAGTGTTCTATGCTAGCATGCCGATAGGTTAGAACTTTCCTGCAAAAAGCCAATCACGGACTACTATGTAGGTATCTATAGAGGAGTGAATCTGTCTACATGCAGGTACAGTACACTGGCACTGTGGTCAGCGATAGTGAGCCAATGAAAAATGCCCTTGATCAGCATTGATCACCAAGGATGGGCAGATCAACGGGACTCCGAGTCGGGACCAACGTTCTCTCACCCGAACCAAGTGTCCGGGCGTCTCGAAGGATTGACCATGACACTATTACCACATTATGTCTGCCAAAAGAAGATGCATGAACCGCATTCACTTTCTTCGGGCAGTCTAACAACATCAGCTAACTTGCCGATAGAGCATGTGAGCAAGTCTCAACACGGCAGTCACGAGAAGCAAGGCCGATACAGCCACCAGAGATCAACAAGAGAATGCAGCGAAGACCCTTCACAGGGTGACTTATACTCCCACCGAGGAAAAACAATAGAGTTCTCAAATCGCGCCGCAAAGTACCACGGTCCACGCACACCATTGAGTCAGGCAAACCAGGGGCCCTGAGTACTTCATTGGACATGTTTGATGACCCTTCAGATAGTGTACGATAGTGTACCTGAGCAGCCCATGGACACAGCCGATGCCAATGGATCAGTCCAATGGGAGACCCCACCCCGCAATGGGAGACCCCACCCCGAGTCCAAGTTTCAGGGCCCGCATGCAACTAGCCTCGACAAACAAAAAATTCATTTCCTCGGCCCCCACGCACGATACCTAAACATGAGAGGGCACCACCGTCCACTCCACCGGCGAGGCTGATGCGACGACGACGAGGGGGGGAATGAGCCAAGCATCGCAAAGTCAAATTGGCCGCAGTAGTTCAGGAGGTTCCATGTGTGATGGGTTGGCGGCGCAAAACTCTTCCTGCCGGAACAGGCATGGTGTATCAGCGCTAGGACTGCTATCTGGAGGCTCCTATTGGCCGGCTCGCTAATGACGTCACTGACACCTGAACCATACGCTTTGCGGACTAGCGGAGGATGCGATGGGGATGCTTGGCGCTGCGATATACTCCTGCACCGAGACCCAGAAATAGACATTTCGAGCTCGATGAGTGGAGGGCAACATTAACAGAGATTTTAGCTGGGGAGGGGGGCGGATGAGGATGCAGGGTATATAAGCATGCGACGCTCGCGGAGTTGGGAGGGTTCATACCAGATCAAAGCATTCATTCTCTTTGCGCATCATCCAGTCATTCGTTTGATTCGTCTTTACTATACACTCCTTTCGTTACTTGTCGATTGTTAGTACTTGTGTGTTGTATTACTGAACCTATACACCTCTATTTACTTGGGTATATACTACACTTCCTTCATTTCTTCACAAAGTGAGTACACTCCCTCGCCGTCCGGGATAACTGCCTCCATCACCGATGTATAACCATCACCCAGACTAACCACCACATCCCACCAGACCCATATACAAACATTCACAATGATCGACAAGTCTGCCATCATCGTCTTCGTCATCTTGGGCTGCGTAGTCTCAGTCCTCATCGGATACTCCATCCACTCCGTCGCCACCGGCGGGTTCCGCAACGACGAGCAGGAGAGAGACTTCTCCCACGAACAGAGATCCTACATGCGGGAGTTGCGCCTACGCGACATCAACTGGATGGCACGCGACAATGGCCTGCGGTACAACCCGGAGCCGCCCCGCGATCTCGAGAAGCAATGATTCATAACGTTTGCTTGAAGCGTTCGGTGCATTTGTGGAGTTCAGGATTTGGGGTTTTGCGTTTGGACTGGGTTCGGTAGATGTTGTTTTCGTCTGTTGTATTATGCTTCTATTTTGTGATGAGAATTTTGGACATGGATAACTTGATATAATCTGTCAAACTGACATGTGAGTATACTTTATCTTGAAGCATTGGTCGCTCGACTATTGTGACCGAGTTTAAATGGAATTACTTCTCAGTCAGCGGTCCTTACCTGGCGGCATTCATCCACCAAATATAGTGAGCAGTTCTTACCTCGCACCCAGAGATCAAGCTCCTGCAACCTGTCTGCCTAGTATATTCGGGTCTCCCTCAACCCTGAGCAAGTGCTGCAGAGGTTTGTTTACCCCAGTGCACCGAAACGTCCGCACGGCAACGGACAATGCCGCGATCTATATCTCCAGCATGCTCATCGCGCCCACTATCATGGAGGAGTGCCAACAATTATCTTCTATCCCCCTCCCAGAGATTATAGAATCACCACCGGTACTTCCATGCAGCATCGCAATTATCAGGATAAATGCCTGGAGGTCGCGCATAGGCATGATAAAACGCCGAGTGATACTTATCCTCCTCGATCGTCGCGTACAGAGAACCAAGGCAATTCGATCGCGCATACATCCAGCCCAGCAGCGGCGCCCTCGATCCTTCCACCTCCTCAAAGAACGTGAGCACATTCTCATCCTCGGGCTCCCACTCCTCCTCACTGGGGCTCATCTGGCGGCTCCTTGTGGGTCTCTCCATCCGTCCACTCCGCCCGGTAGAATCCCCGATACTTGTCTAGCGTCCAATCCCGCTCCAGCACGATGTTTGGAGCACCGTGGCGCTCTTCGTCAGTATGCGCCGCCTGGAATTGTTCTAAACAGTAATCATCGACAATCAAGCACATCCGGTACTGCGGAGTGTCCGCATCTCGCATCGCTACCGCACCAGGCCCGTCCCGTTCTTCGGTGGTGTTGGAGACCCATGTTGCCAAGCGGTTGCGGATAGCATCGCGGGTTGCAGGACCAATTCCCGGTCCACCATCCCCGTTTCTGTGCAGAATGGGCACGTCGGGCTGGATGACTGGGCAGTAGAACCGGGGGAACAGTGCATTGGTGTGAATTGGATTTAGCTGAGCTTGCCCAGCGCGGAAATTTTCATGCTCGCGGAAACTTGTATACACCCCGCGGAACAGGTTGGGGAGGTAGGCGGACCACAGCTTCTCCTTGACCTCTGCGGTGCTGGCGGAGGTTGAGAAAGCTCGGAAGATTGGGAACCCCCAAGTCCTGCTATTGAAACGCTGGAGAAGCCGGGAGATATAGGTGAGGTAGTTCTCTTGATTGCGACGAAGAAGGTCGGGCGGGAGGTCTAGGGAAACATCCGTGAGGGGAGGACTTTTCGGGATGGTGACGCGGTTGGTGTCTGTCTGGGGGATGTTATACCAGGGGTGGAAGTGTGGGCCATGAGAACGGGGATTGACGATGGGCTTCCGTGGGATTGTCAAGCGGCGAAGCAGGCGCATTCTAGCTCCCTCCCGTTGGGTTACTGAGAAGGAGAAAGGACAGTAAAAGATCATATGGGTAGAAATCGGGAGGCAATGGTTTAAAATATAGTGTACCTGTTACCTAGTGCTTATATTTACCTAGATCTATGCGTCGAGGCCACTCTTGCCCGTTTAGGGCTAGCGTCATCTGCATCTGTGGGGCGAGCATGAGCGACCGACAGTGACGCTCCGACCCGTCGCAGTTCGCAACAAACCCACCCAAACGCCAGGCCGAACCGCCTCAATCTTCGTCAACTCTCACCATTTTTCGTTCTCCCGCTCAGCCTCAGCCTCCGCTGGTGAGAACTGGGCCGCCACACGACAGCATGGCAGAATACTGGAAATCAGCAGTGAGCTTCCTTGCCCCTCTCTCCCTTCCTTTCCACCTTAAAACTCAAACCAGGCAACCTACTCACTAATCTTTGCGAAGCCAAAATACTGGTGCAAGCAATGCAAGATCTTCATCCGCGACACTCCCTTCGAAAAAGCCCAGCACGAAGCCACGGGCAAACACCAAGGGAACCTCAAACGCTTCCTCCGCGACATCCACCGCAGCAACGAGCAGCAGCAGCGGGAGTCCCAGCGCGCCAAGAGCGAGGTCGAGCGGCTGCGGCAGACGGTCGCGGGGCTCAATGACCCCAGCAAAGGGGGCGATGCTGCCGGGGCACCATGGCGGCAACGAGAGACCCCCAAACCCCAGGAGCGGCCGGTGTCGATGGAGGAGCGGAAACGGCAGATGGCGCAGTTGGCGGAGATGGGGGTGGCGATCCCGGACGAGTTCCGCGGGGAGATGGCCCTAGCGGGGACGTGGCAGACTGTTTCGGAGAAGGTGATCGATGGTGGTGGGGATGAGGGGGGTTTGAAGGCCGGGAGGTCGGTGGGAGTGCGGAAGCGCAAGTTGGAGGGAGGTGGTGTCGGTGATGCTGATGTCGATGAGGAGGAGGTGGAGGCGAAGAGGGAGGCGGAGAGGTTTGTCTCGAAGGGGTGGGGGTCGTCGGTTAGGAGGTATCCTGGGGCGAAGGAGGAGGACACGGATCTGGATGCGCTGCTGGCGTCGACGAGAGAGATTAAGAGGGTCAAGCCTTCGGAGGTTAAGGTGGAAGCGGACGTGGATGCTAATCCGAGAACTGAGAAGAATGCACCGCCCGAGGAGAAGGAATCAACGAAAGGCCACTTCGTACCGGTCAAGCCGGAGGGAGAGATCCAGCCTGCAGAGTCGGATGAAGCACCTATTGTCAAGGAGGAGCAGGCAGGGGGTGATACATCGATGGAAACTGTACCGAAAACCGAGGCTGAAGAGCCAGCTGCTGGAGTTGTGTTCAAGAAACGCAAACCGAAGGTCATGAGGAAATGAGTGCGCCGCTGAATTATGCGATGGAACAGTTCAAAGGGCTGAGACGCCCTTGCTGAGGAAAACCGACGCCTGATCTACGATGCAATACGCATGCTGTCACTGGACGTTACATCCAGAAGTACGACAGGTGCATGGAATGTCTCAGCTGTAAATGGCTTTAGGAGGGGCTCACTACAAGGGACTCATTCATGGTCACTGAAACAAAACCTCCACATTTACATGGATGCCACACAACATAATAGTGCCGATGTGGTTCATCTTGGAGGTTCACCCATGAGCCTCGGGAGTTTCACCTGGCAGGCAATTGGAGCTCGGCGGGAACACCAACACTCCGACTGAACACCCAGACAACTGCAGATCTAGCCTTGGCGGGCAACTGAAACCGCATCACCAGAGCCGCACCGCACCTGTAGATATTACTTTTTCCAGTTATCAATCAAGCCAAAGCCTCGAAAATAGCTTAATGGTTTGAACGGTTTACTTTGAATTTGGTGGTGCTCAGATAATGAATGGCGCGCTAGAAATTACCGATGAATAGACTCAACTAGGATACTGTAACAGTTCCAAGAATACAAACATCAGAGACCAAGTAGAAAGATAAGAAACATATTGCATTGTGTTGTTGTATCTTGTCCGTTGTTGAATATGGATTCAAGTCTGGTTGCCACTGACTGACCACCGACCGTTGGACCCTTCCTTTTTTTTTGCATCGAATTTTTCTGCCCGTATTAATTTTCCCCGTCGGCGCAGACCAAACCAAGAGTCCGGGGACTGACTCTCTCTCACTCACTCACTCACTTCCACTTCTTCTCTTTCTCCCTCCCTCTCTCTCACACCCTCACTATTCTTTCGCGGCCCCGAAGCTCTCTCTCTCTCTGCCTCGCTCGTTTATCTGCGCAACAGCCTTTTTCTGTCGCATTCCCATTCTTCCCCTCCCACCCCCAAATGCGGAGATTATTTGGTGCCGCATTGCGTGTTTTGGTGCTATAGTCATTCGGCTCGCTTCTTTTCGCTTATCTGGCCCAGTGCATGGTGAGTAAACGAGAGCTTCTTCCCATTTGCTTGTCCCGAGCCCTCCCCTCTGGCAACTCCCCCGACACGCGCTCGACCTTTGTCTGCCTCGGTCATTGTGACTTGTCGACTCTCCGTTTTGTTTCTTCGACCGGGGTTTTTATTACCGGATTCGCATGGCATCTCGACCTCCGCCAGTTCACCATGTACGATTCTTCCGCTGTGGCAGTGCCGTCCTGGGGTAGGATTCGGGGAGGCTCTAGACGGTCGCATCCAGCGTTGCCCGGTCTGACAAGGCTGCACTGCCTCTTGAGACATAAGATGAAAGAGCTTGGACTTTTGGACGGGGCTTGATCAGGTTAGGGAACGATAGCCAACACATCGTGGATCGTACCAGCACCCTCCGTATGCGGACAATTTTCGAGGGAATCGCGTCGGAACTCGACACCCCGACAAATGCGCGAGCCAAAAGAACCGACCAGTATTGACACCAACTGTTCGATACGAACAACCATGATGTCCCGGGGTTGCCAGAGGGTCGTTGGGTCGCGTTAATCGGAATCAGCCCACTAACATGCATTGCCTTTTGAGTTAGAGAATCAGCACCCATCGGCTCCGCATTCCCTGCAAAGTCTTTGCTAGCGGTAAAAGTCATCCGTGGCCGACCTCGACCCGTCCGACACACCGGAAAGCCTTTCCAAGGCTTGAATCCATTTATTCTTATTGTACGCAGGGGTGACAGAGGTGTCGAACCTTTATTGAGATGGCAGAACCAGCAGATTCGACGAATCCAGCAGAGGAGGCGCCCAAGCCGGCTCCCGAGCCGGCTGAGATGCCTGCTGCTGAGCAGCCCTCTGCTCAGTTGCCTCCTGCTGAAGTGCCTCCGGCTGAAGTGCCTCATACTGAAGTGCCTCCTGCTCAAATGCCTCCTGATCAAATGCCTCCCGCTGAGCAGCCACTTAATGAGCAACCTACCTCTCAAGAGCTTCCTCACCAGCAATCCCCTCAGCAATCCCCTCAGCAACAGCCTTTCCCTCAGCAGCCTCCCCATCAGCAGCCTCCACCCCAGCAGCCTCCCTATCAGCATGCCCCCCATCAGGAGTCTCCTCAACCTCCCCCTTTCCAGCAGCCTCCTGCCGAACAGCCCCCTCTTGAGTTGCCCTCGGTTCACTTGCCATCGGCTGAGCAGCACAACAGCGAGCCATTAGACCACGCGCTTCCCCATATCGACACTTCACTCCCTCCGATTGACACGACTCTGCCCGCGATGGAGGAACACGAACGTCTCAGTCATGAACTGCCCCCGATCGATACAACGATACCGTCGCTTCCTCCAATTGATACCTCTTTACCACCGCTTGACACTACGCTTCCAGCTACGGACGGGCTACATACCGAGGAACCCGATTTCTCGTTCCCGGAATTGAAACAAAGTGACACCGATGGCCATGGGGTGGACCATTCGCACCCACCAGGAACGAACGGGTTTGACTTTCCCGATCACACGCCCCATTCCTCGACCGCCGCCCCCTCCTATCATGCTCCCGTGAACGACACGCATTCGCAACAGCCGGCTCAGCAGGAGCATTCTCATTTGTCCCACCACACACATCAACATCAGCAGTCCCCACACCCAGGTCAACCGTCGCAACCTCAGAACCACTACGAGCATCAATACTCCCACAACCAACATCATCCGCAGCAGCAGCACACGCCATCGCAGCATGGGTCGCCAACCCAACATCAGCAAGGCCCGGGGCAGTCGACACCGACACAACCGCACCAGCAACAGCAACAGTATCAGCAGCACCAGAGCTCGGACATGTATCACAGTCACCAGTCCATGAGTGCCCCGTCGATGCAGACCATGGATCATCATTCGATGCAGGGACAGCATTCCCAGATGCCACAGGCTCCCATTGGTTCGCCTATGCCCTCAAACATGCCTCCGATGACCTCTGTTGGCCAGTACATGACGGGATACCCTACCAACGTTGGTCATATGGGGATGAATGCCAACTCCCAGATGCGTTACCAGCTTTCGGGTGACGCCAACAAGATGTTGTCGGGCGGGAGACATAAGAAAGAGGTCAAGCGTCGGACGAAAACAGGGTGCTTAACATGTCGTAAGCGACGAATTAAGGTATGTGCAAAAGCAGCATGTGATTTTTTTTGTCGATAATGTGTGCTCTGTTGTGATGGTGGTGATGTGGGGAGGAAGAGGAGGGGAGGTGAAACTGAACTGCAAGGAGGGTGGGTGGGCGGGCAATGGCAGGCGGTCGCAACAGGCGAGTCTTCGCTTGCGCCGCCGCAAATGTTTGTTCGGCTCGCCGAACCCCGCCTGTCGCTTGTTGTTGTTCTCGCCCACTCACCAGTGTTGCTGCTTTCCTCCCCGCCTAACTATTCACGCTCACATTTATTTTTTGATACCCAGAGTGGTTGCTTCTTTGTGTCGCTCTCTATTCTTTTGTGTTCCTCCTTTTACCTCTCCTCTGTGGATTCTGGGTTTGTACCTCGATCGATATCCCCGCTAACTGCTTAATGCACACTAGTGTGACGAGGGTCATCCTGTCTGTCGGAACTGTGTCAAAAGTAAACGGGAATGTCTAGGTTACGACCCCGTATTTAAACAACAACCAACGCCTTCTGCTATTCAGCCCGCCCCTAATCCGCATCCTTCTTTGGTGGTCAATCCCCAGGATCCTTCCACCTCTTATCCTCAAGCTCCTCCGGGCTACGTACCTGCCGCGTCGCAACCGTTTGCTCCTTCTGAATCGCCCAGCACGTCAACCGACCGCTACGATAGCTACGGAGCGCCCGTTGATCACTCTGCCGACGTGAACAATCAGCAGAACATGGCCAGCATACAGCATGCCGTTGAAGGAGGCCTGCAGCCGACGGTCAACCCGGCAGCAACCAACGCTACCGGCACCCCGTCGGAGGCTACCAGTTTCAGAGGTATACTCCACTACCTGAGATGGTGTTGTAAGCATGCTAACTTAGCCCGCAGTGAAACAAGTGCAGATTAGCGACCTTCTTGCCCTGCGAGGAATCCCCCCTCCCCCTCCGCACCCCATCACATCACTGCCGCCTAATCGGCTTGAGGAAATCCAAGCCGTATTCCTCGCAACTTATGCTCCAGCCATAGACAAGTTCTTCGAAACCAGGTGGTTCCAGGATAAAGCGTTGCCCCATCTGCTGGCAAATGCACAGCTCATGGCGGAGTACTCCGCCTTGATCGATGCCTTCAATGACCCCAATCTCAACGACCCGAACGTGGTTGCCCGGTTGGAGAGTTTCGAAGCGTCAGTGGTGTGGAGCTCGATGACCCTGTGCCGTCATGTGATGAACGTGTCCGGGGGTGCGCAGCCCGAGTACGATCTGCTAGCGTCGGCGAAGAGACTGGACGTGATTGAGGCGATGATCACGGGCGAACATTTGGACTCGAACCCTCTGAGCCAGTTCCCTACTCGGGAGCCGGCTGCCAATCCTCCCTCGCTGCCGGATCAGTTGACACAACGGTCGCTGGACTTCTGGAGCGCCGTCGGATACTTCCTCACGCTACACGACAACGAAGCCAGCTCGGCTAAGGAGATCGACGATACCCTGGCCCGCTGCCGGACATTGTTGGACACGTACGAGAACCGGGATGTGATCTATTCGATCGCTATTGCACGCCACCTGGGACAACGGTGGGCGGACTTTCCCCGCAGCTTCCCGCAACCGATCACGACGAACGAGAAGGATGCGGGAGCCAAGCTGTATGTCGCACAGAAGTTCCTCGAACAGGAAGCCGGCGGCAAGGGCACAACACAAGTGATCAAGCGCATCTGCGGCATGGTTGTTCGATCCTGGATTGTTTCCCGCGAGTGACCCTCGGGGTGGTTCATTCTTTCTGATGCGAGCAATTTGCGATCTGTCATATGAAAAGCGCCTCGGTACGCTGCGTACCGATTCACCATGTTCTTTTAGATTTTCTGCCTGGCCATCGAGGGGTTTCCCGCCGACAGTAAGCGCGGGTGGGTGGATCTCAGATCTGCCAAGCGTGTTTGACATGGGTAGAGAAGTCACAATTGGGCTCGGAGTTACGCTTGGGATTAAGTTTTTCTTTGTTTTCTTGGCAGCAGAAGGACGGGCAGTTCACGGCGTTTACGGCTGCATTACCTGAACAGGTGTCATAATTGCTTCGTGCTGTTGCTTTTGTCGGTGGAGAGGGGACTGTATGGTTCGGCGCTAGTGTCTAGACACTTCGTCTGAAGACAATGAAATAATGAGACCATTGTACATACACAAAAAAAAGCAGTCCTATTCTTAACCCTCTATTGACGTGTCTATAGCGTATGTACAATCTTGCAGCTTATCGTTTAAAGGTCTGCCTGCTCAGGGACGGGACTCTTCAACTTGCCCGTCTCCAAGGCGGAGCGAATATTCCCGATCGTCCATTCCTCCATTGCCGTTTGTGTCTGCAATTATTGACTTTTCGTTAGCCACTTTCCTTTCAGACCACTTTCATCCACCGCCCAGAAAAAGCACAGGATCAACTCACCTCGACCGTCCATGTCCCCATATGCGGTACCAGCACACAGTTGGGATTCCGCACCAAACCGGGGTGCACCGCCGGCTCGTCCTCGAAGACATCCAAGCCGGCAGAGAACACCTTGCCCGAGTCCAGCGCCTGCACCAGCGCCTCCTCGTCCATGACCGCGCCGCGCGCCGTGTTGACCACGACCACGCCATCCTTCATCTTCGCGAACTCCGCATGGCTGATGATGTGCCTCGTCTTGGGGTTGAGGGGCAGGTTCAACGACAGCACGTCACTTCGGGCCAGCAGCTCGTCGAAGCTCACGTACTCCGCCCCGTCGGCCTGGTCCGGGCCCAGCGCGCGCCGGTTGTGGTAGAGGACGCGCATCCCGAACGCCTCGGCCTTCCGCTTCAGGTTCCGCCCGATCCCGCCCATCCCCAGGATGCCCAGCGTCTTGCCCTGCGGGTCGTGGCCCAGCGCCGGTAACGTGGTGCCGGGTCTGCCCCGGAAGTCCCCGGCGCGCAGGTTCTGCATGCCCGCGTTGAAGTTGCGCAGCGCGCCCAGAATCAGGAACATGTTGACGTCCGCGGTGGCGTTGTCCGGCGCGGTGGGCACGTTGGACACCCGGATGGGTTGCGGGGCGCGGGTGGTGCAGGCTGGGATCGAGATTTGGTCGTAGCCCGCTCCTGGGTTTGTTGTTAGTGTTTGGAGGAATTTGGGGAGGGGGTGATGGTGGGGAGGGTTAGGGTGGTGGTGCAGGGACCGTTAACGGGGCTGGGGGGCTGGGGGGCTACGGCGCAAGCACGCACCGCAATGCGCAATCCACACCAACGACGAGGGCAGCACGTCGATGATCTCCTGGTCAAAGAGGCCGGTGAGGTTGATGGATCCCAGCGTGCGGTAGGCCGCGACGACACCGTCGTATTTGCCGGCCTTGCATTCTTGGATGAATTCCGCGCGGTTGGTGGCGGTTGTTTCGAGGAGGTCGGCGATGTCGCTGAGGCCGGTCCAGGTGGCGTACGCGCTGGGATGGGGGGGTTAGTGGTGGTGGTCAATGGGTTTGTTGGTACAAGAAAGGGGAGGGCAACGCACTGGTCGATCTTTCCGATCAGTAGCACCTTGGGTTTGGGGTTGGTTGAGCCCATTGTTGCGGTGTTGTGCGGGGTGGGTGTCTATGAGCTGGTTAGATGGTGTTGATTGAGCTGTGGTTGCAGGTAATGAGGGGTAAAAACATACCTTGAGAATTGCTAAGTGCAGCTGGAAAGAAAGTGGGGTAGGCAGGAGATTTATAGATGGCCGGCACTGGCACGGAATGCAATACCCCGAACGGAAAAGAGTTTCGGGTGTAGACCGTGCAGAAGATTGATCGCACTGGCGGGACTGACGGACTGACCAAAACAGTGCAAGTGATAGGGAAATTGGATAACGCGAGCTCTGAAAGTCGACCCCACGTGCCCCGCGCGCCCTTCGCACTTATCGCTCGGCTTCCTTCCCGACTGGTTCCTGCCCTTGATTGGTGGAAGATTGGCCCAGATAGGGCGTATGCTGCTCTCGGCCGACTCGCTTATTCAATTGTATATACTGTAGTTACTGTCTGGTGGTGGCTATGAGTAGTTTATTCACTGCTGTGTTTAGTGAATAAATCCTGTATTGTCTTGATGGGGTATTCACCAGGCAGGAAGCTGCCTTTTCATTGAAGAAAAAGCTACACAGCTGGATCTTCAATACTTAAGCTCCTCCAGCTTCTTCTTCCTCTTCCTCTCCTGTATCCATCGGTCTCACTTCTGAGTCTGTACTTCGTTTTTCATTCTTCATCTCCCTGATTTCCTCTTCCATCTTTCATCTTCCAGAGTCAACATGGCGACTTCTTAGCCTTGTACTTGGTATACTTCAAACGCTATCGCATGTTTCCCTATCCGTCAAGGACATACATCTTCATGGTCGGATCAGAAGTGCCCCTTAGCATCATACCTTCTCTCTTCTGAAACGCAATCATACACCTACAACCAGGCAGCTAGAAATTGATCTCCTACCGAGATCAAAAACGCTGTTCTTAATTGTGTACGGCTTGATCGTGCTTGTTGTTCCTAGCACACTTTTGATACAGCAAGGTTCTCAAAGCATTTATCTCCGAGTCAACTCTCGGTCGTTGAATTAGACTTGCTAAGCATCGCAGAGCTGCAAGTAATGATCCACCAGCCGTGACTCTTTGCGTCAATGGGGGCGAATGGGACTACTTTGACATTAAGGGACCAAGAGATGTTTCGGTCCAGAAGGATGCCTCTAACTACCCCCCTCTTCCACAAACCTTGATCTCTAACAGACCTACTTTTATTCATGAATCAGCCCAACCTGCCCCGGCAATAACTCTCGCATCGAGCGTCCTGAATGGAAGGATGACCCTGTGCTATGCAAGGCCGGAGCGGAGTGAATCGAGAAGCTGCTTTTTCTCTCAGCCAACGCGCCAGCGCGTGAAGACGATAAAGCTCTGCCAGATTGTTGAGCTTCACATACAGGCCCAGAGCAAGGAGAAGGAGACGTTTCCGAGGACGGCGTTGTCGATGAGGCTCTTATCGTGAGAGCTATTGAGAGCTAATGAGAGCTATCTTCTGGATGTCATGGAAGTCCTGATGCTGACTGCCAAGAACCTGATACGCTTATGGAAGCCCTGGCCCGCCTGTGTGGGCAAGTCGGCCATGACGTCGAACATCGCCGCTATGAAAAGTCCCGGCGAAAGCTCTTGCGTAGAATGATGCGCAAAACTGGCATTATGGTAACCACTCTACTGACTTTGCCCGAGATGTTGCTGCCGGAGCTTTTCCCTAAGTATCTTATCATCAACGGGGCGACTTCTATCACGATTCAGAGTTGTTTTCTGCCTTAACAAAACTTCCCCAAGTCATGAGTATACTTCTCGCCGGCGACTAACAAGCTGACTCTTTATAGTTGCTTGACAGCTTCGCATCAGACCGAAAAGATTCACTCATGTCCGGATTCTGTCAAGGGTTGTTCGCAAGTGTAAATGCCAGTCATCTCTACTCTGATCAAAATACGCGACTCCACCAACAACAAATCTTTGTTCTACTAGAGGAACCAAGTCAGAAAACGGGCCCAGTGGGAGCTCGAGGATGGCAATACGGAATGATGGACCTGGTCCAGTCCAGTCCAGTCCCGCAGGATGAAGTACTCATTTCGAGGATGTTCAGGCCTTTTCTCCTCGTCGACATACTTGAATTGACGTCAATCATTTGTTTTATACAAAAGCCTATCTGCGAGCTTCCTAAATCCATATGCACTTCCATAAGCTCGATTCATATCACCGGGATATGAAGTCAAGGCCATTTCAAAGCGAAGCATTACCCCCAGACTACTCACTTGGAAACCTGACATGTACGACATCCCGACATTCGACCAGGCAGATCCGCAAACAATCACCCAGGCTAGGCGGGTGAAATTCCTCCGACGGCTGATAGATAAGTACAACGGGACTGCAGCATAATGCAATTGACTTCTCGCATTGATGGCTTTTTCAATACGCACTCAATTGTCTTCATCCACCCCATGTTCTTACTGCAAGGAACCAAAATTGCCGACATTCCAAGTAACTCGGACCAAGGAGCAGGCGCGACAGCTGTTCCGACCTTTACCATGTGTGGTGGGACGCGGTCTGCCACAAGAAGACTATCCGGCAACCCCTTTGGCCGATGTGCGGAAACCTATCCCTTCCGTAAACTTCTCATGTTAGTGGCTCTCTACCCTCCTTCATGGAATATTGACTAACCTAGCTTGACTGCATAATAGGGGGAAAGCCCAAAAGGAGGCAGAGCAGGTGTGTGGCGCTCAGCAACAAGTCAATATATATTGCGCCTGTTTACGATGATCGATTGTCTGGGCAGATCTGGGAGAACGTTTGGGACCCGTGCCTCAACTGTGAAGTTCTTATCAAGAACCACAAAGGCAGAACCAGCAATTTCGGTCGCTGGACTGAATGCGTGGGTGCCCCGCCTTGATCCATCAAGGTAGACAGTCGAAAGTTGTTTTACGGACGACCTCGGGTCCCCGCCAGCATACTGATGCAGGACATTGAAAAGTACCCTGGGATGGAGAGGTTTGCGCACATGTAAGGGAAGATAGCCCATCATCTTCCTGCTGAGATTTGGTTCTGTCAGTGCAAAACAGGACGTCAGCGAAAGATTCTACGAGCACATTGAGAGGTGACAAGTGATGCAAAGACTGTTTCAACCACGAAGTTGGAGAGTCCTAAGGGTCTTACAAGCGAGATGAGACTTCGAAGGACTGCAAGGATCTGGATGAGGGCAAATGGACTGCTGAACTTTGGGAGATAGCCCCTTACAGACAATGAATGGTACGATGAGGGCTTTCCGTTCTCATCCAGCTTCTCTGACATTTTGCGTGGATTGCCAGCAATCGTCCAAAAGTGCTGCTAAATGCTGCACACCGGTACGGAAAGGACTCAACCACGCCAGCGGCCACCTAGGACACAAAGAGGCGTGCCACAGAGTGAACTACCTGATTGGATACATATTACCAAGCTTGGGGGAATTGACTGCAAGTAACTCCAGTGCTCATTCTCTCTAATCGGAGCTAGCAAGAAGCTCGGGGCTAAGTTCTCGGAGCGTACGTGCTGTACGTCGCCCGCACAACAATCTATGAAGGAGGGCAACGCTTCCAGCCGCCGGAAACAGGTGTCATCGAAAAGGAAACTTTCAATCAGATGCTCTTCTCTGACTTTCAACCTTTGCCAGCTTTCCTGCTTGGACGTTATCTTTCTGGATGCTTCCGCTGTCGGCTGACTTGACTTCCAGGACCGCAGTACATATTTTTTCTTCTACACCCGGACTGCTTTGGATACAGTTCGATTGCTCCACCCACCCGACCACCGCCGGTCTGCTGATTTCTAAGAGAGAATGGCAGCCTGTCATCAACTTGCTCTTTGCTGTAGGGTGCTTGACAGTGTGCTAGCCCGTGTTGGGCTCGGCCTCTGGGCGCAACAGGGCTACTCTAACCGCGCTGCATTTGCAGAAGAATGCATATGTACTTCTCAGTGATGTGAAGAAGATCACTGACTATATAAACCGCCACCATCTGCAAGACTAGGCTTTTACCAGACAGTCAATTGGTTTGGTGTATGAATAATGAAGATCTACATTGAGGTAAATATTTTCCTCTACAGAGTGAAACTGAGCGTGGAACTGAGTGAATGACAGAACATCTCAGTCGAAAATGCAGCGGCAGCAGTGTGCAAGATTCTGTCCACCCTGGCCAATGCAACGAGCCTAAAAAAGATTCTGGCCTATTCTTTTTCTGAATTTGAACTTCACCCGGTCTGCTGATGAAAACTAACCAATTTGCACACTGGGCCAGTGAGGTGCTGTGGGACCTGGCTGCGCGCAGAGCAGTGGTTGTGGTTGAGGTTGTGCCGTGTAGGTAAAAAAAGAGTAATGGGCTTCACTACAGACGCATCGGAGTGGCAAGTCGAGACTATTGAATGGGAGGGGAAAGCACTTAAGGCTGCCCTCAGACTCCCTGACGACTAAACCGAGGAATTAAAGACTGTCGCCCTCGGACAAGACCTTACCCATTGGATGGCGGGATTTTCGGTGGGACCAAAGCGTGCAGTGCTTCACAATTGGGAAAATAAGACTGTTGAAAAGATCAAGACGAAGTACTAGACCATCCGGCCGATCTGGATTCCTTGATCTTGTACGAATGGATCCAAGAAAAACCTCTCACATGGAAGTTGCCTACATTGACCGTCACTAAGAGTGCTTACATGGTTTCACAAAATGCCGTCCGAGAGAGAAAGAGTTTTTCGCCGTTCCCAGCGAGGAAAAAGTTCGGACTTTCGACTAGAATAGATATTTAGCTCTTTCACCCAGCATCAGAGAATTCCGCCAATATCATATGGGCAGGAAACGGAATTGACCGAGTCAGGTAAGAATACCCAGCTCCGGTCAGAGACTTGAACGAATCTGCCGCCTCTTCGATAAGAGCAGGCCCATGCATCACTCCCACAAGCGACTATACGAAGACACATCGCGCATGATATAACTCCAGGTTATTTCACTTGGGATAACTGACATTTCTCACCATCGAGGTGGCGACCATGTCCACCGCCCATCTGTACAACGCTCTGCAGCAGGAAAGGCTTGCCCCAAGTGATCCGTGGGGCTGAGATGCTGTTGCTGCTCAAAGTATGGGGTTCCGTGTTTACCCATGAGACTCCAATTCCTTATCTCAGCAGACAGTGCAGATAGCAACGAGAAAGATAAGATATGCTCCCCGCTAATCTCCTCTCTGCGCTGGTTATAGCGTGGAGCGAGATTCATATACCCACCAGAAGGCCAGATATACAGCCAATGTGCTTCTCACAAGCAGCAGAAGGTGGTAATCATCAAAGCCAAACAATTTTCGCGCAACAGTCGGCCTGGTAGAGATGAAAATATATGGTGGTCATTAGTCAAGCGCCAGGTGCAGCATTGCCTGGCGGGCGTTTACAACTGCAGTCAGATCTCGTCAACCGTGTACGGCATTGTGGCTGTTGGTGACAGGACCTGACTGTCAACGGCGACGAGCAAAGTGACAAATCAGGAAAACCATCTCCTTTGAATCAGTATCAAATCCAAACAAGCACTCTCGCAAGCCGGCCGATGGAATATGCCGTGACAAGAGGAAATGTTCACAAAGCCACGGACATTTCCCCATATACTCAAAGATAAGTCGTTCTATGTCTTTGGATAAGAGGTCTGACATATGTCGCGATCATGGCGGAGAGATCACACAATTTGTAACCTCTCATACTCAACGCTCGTTGCGAACTCCTCAGCATGAGGTTCATGTTGACACCTGTGACTCAGGACTTCTTGCCAAGTCAGATGAAGATGCTCGCCTGAAACGATATACGAACGTCGCTGAAATCGCAGAGTCCTACGACAATTTTGAGGCCCTTATTCATGTGGACGAAGTCAACTGGCTTGAGATAGTTGGTATCGGAGATCATATGACCAAGAAAATTTCCAGACAAAGCCGATGAGGCCTTGAAAGGTGACAACGATGATGCTTTATTCGATGCGGCTGACTCAGTCGCAGATCACTCTGATCAAGAGGACGGCAATGTGTTTACTGACCATCCCGTCCCATCTCAGAAGGGAAGCCGAGACATGCGCGATATTCGGCTCAAGTAAGACTAACGACACCTTCACAAGACGGTATCTAACTGACAAAGCCTATTCCAGGCACTTCAAGTTCTCTCTGCTTCAACCGGCCATTTCTTGCCATGGCCCGCCCAAGCAGAAGAGCACTTCTTCGTTGCTTAAACAGATTGAGCTCTTGAATCAGGTCTCAATCTCAATGGCTTCTGTTACAGCGACGCACAGACACGCGCAGCGAACGAGTGTGAAGTCAAGCATGGGGCACGTGTAGGAGCCTCGCAAGTCTGGCCCAATGAACTAGGACATCGTGCGCCTCCAGTAAGCTTTATATCTCTGTAACGGTAATTTGATCCATGGCTAATCGATATGAAGGTATCCTAATGGCGGCGACTGCGTTGCGCCAGCTCCGCGACAGAATGTCGACCGCGAAGATGGCCTCCGGTGGCCAGATGCTCGGGCAAACTTCTATTTAATCAAATTTGAGCACGATAGTCTCGTTTACCGGGCATTGTCTGATCTTGAAGACCTTGAAAGATTCCGTCGAGTATCTCACTGAATCGAGACCTTACCACGAATGCATTTTGCAGGACGTGAAGGCACTATAAAATAAGAAAAGGTGCATATCTTATTGCGTCAATTCCTCTAGCATCTCACAATATTGCAGACCTGCACCAATGGTTGGACTATCAGCCAGCTTCATCTCCAGGTATTGGTTCATGGGCTGATCAGTGTAGGCTGCTATCGTGACAGACAGCACTGGGCAATGCCCTGGGTTTGCGCCCCCCCAACCTTAGTGACACTCTTTACAGTCTGCGCTTGCTAATAGATCTATACACACTTGATTTGGGAATGGCACACTCCAACCTTGAACCGAGCACTTCAAAGCCCCCTAGAGGCGTTTCTGCGGGTAGATCAACCACTGATTGGTTCTCTGCACCAGGACATGAAGCCCTAGGAACCTGTCCGATACACTACTATCCCAGTCCCGTGCGGATTCTCAATGTTCCAGAAATGACTAATCACGGCCCTTATCCGGTTACGCAGCATAGAACTGGCGCTTAAAGCCAGTACAAGTGACTGACCCAGTGCGAGCCCAAGAAACATCACCACACTGAGTAAGAAGCCACACGTCTACTGGAGGGCAGGAGTCTTCATCTTGGTGCCATTCACACGTGGTCCATCCTTTGATTACAAAAACTCTTCGGGTGTAAATTGTGTACCTGCCCCTACGAGGCTGATGGACGTATTATGGAGGCGTACTATCATCCTCCATATCACGCGAAGAATTCCAGGCTTTTAACGTCCGGCTATTGGCACCTGCTCACTTCCATCGATGCGACTACATTGTCTCTCCCAAGGTGTTCCTGACCATTCTCCACAGCTTTCGGCTATGCTATTGAAACAGAAAACACTTGGCCGAGATCGCCTGGGTCGAGGTAAAAGCTTCAGTAGACCATACACATGCTGCGCTACCATCCCGGCGCAATGAAAATCGAGTCAAGTTTGTGTACTGGTGAGCGACCTTTCACCCTGCTCCTGGCAATACACGAGCGCCCAGCACTTCATACGACCACCGATGAAGCCAGACTTTGCCTCATGAGAAACGCAACCCATTTTACAGGCTATTTCCTCCTGCAGCGGAGTCCGACATCTCTCGAGCTCTACTCGCGTTTTTCTCGGTCCCAATTGCCCCCTAGCATGATACACTACCATTGGCCTATTTATTGAAAATACCGTGATTGGTATAGACTACTCGGTTTTATCCCTTTAGCGATAGTTTTGGAAGCCTGACCTGCTGGTTCAACGTGTTGTGTCGAGACTGCGCGAAAATCCTTGCATAAGACTTTCAAAGCCTTTGACCGGATGCCGGGGGAGGCTAGTGATTCATCGCCGCCGGGTTCTTCGATTGACAGTAGTGATCCAGGAGATCTATGGTTGCAAAGCAAAAGAAGCATGAGGCTGACGAGCGGCGAACAGATTATTTGATTGTGTAAGCACCGTCCAGGGTTTCGCTGATGTCTCCTTAGATGCCCCAGTGGTACGGAGAACCAGGAGATCATGCGCTATAAGAAGGCTTTCCAGACCCACTCAGATGCACGACCTCTCCAGCAATCGGAGGGTCCCAGTGCTGGTGTGGAGCCCACGCGTTGTGTATGCAACTTATAGCAGAAAAGGCTTCTAAATCTCATTGAGTAACCAGAGAAGAACGACCAAAGCTAGAAAAAGATGTTGATCCTATAATCTGAGGTTCGCATGCCTGAATTTTGAGAGCACTTGGCTGAGTATCTCATTGTGCTCTGCTCCCGGAACATTGCCAAGTTCAAGCATATCCACCTTTCGGAGCTGGTTGCAGAGAGGGTAGAATTCAACGACGCCTGATTCCCCTCGATAGGAAGCACAGCCAATCTTGCTGTTCTACATGGATGACTTATTGCGGAAGACTTACGGCCGATCCTCTAGGTGATTATGCCACTGCCCCCTGATTGCAAACATTGTTCCACGGAATGTATGAGAACTACAAGGACAGACTCTATCTAAGAGTGGTCCTTGAAGCTCTCATAGCCCAGAGGACACTGGAGGGTCTGCCCTACCCACTTAGTAACAAAAGCCCATTGCTGAGTACAGAGCTGGAAGCAATGCTGAAGAAGAAAGCTGTATTTCGGAAAACCCACCCGCGATACTTTACCGCACGGGGGCATCTTAGGAGACAGTTTTGGAGGTTCATCTTCACAGTACCTAGTCTACAGTATGTCTTCGATATGGAAGACCTGTGAATTCGTGGATCCGTGGATCCGTGGTCATTCCGGGCCCAAGATCTCAATCATCTGTGGTTGAATTCAGTTTGCAGAGGCTCTTTAGCCCTGTCATCTAGAAATCGTATTCCATTACACCTGAATGTCGTCCAGTCCACCTTCGTCACCGCCCATCTTTCACCCACAGCAACCCATCGGGTTCGGCCAGCAACCGTATACTTGAACACATATCTTGACGCTAGCAGAAACGCAATACTAGTCACCAATCTGCTCGAAAGCGAGCTCTTCCAATGGTTGCCTATAAACCTTTCACAGGAAGTAACCCAAATCCTGGGACATGTCCTAGCTGGACGAGCAATTTTATCCTCTATGCAACTCTCAGATTTGCTGGATTTGACTGGGTAATTCTACTTACATGGATGACAACACAAGAGCGAGGCAAGATTGTTGACGAACTTACTGGGAAGCCAGATTCCTGCATGGTCAAATTCTCAGCTACCAGGTAAACTCATCAGACGTCAATCTACAGAGATATTGCCACACCGTCCACCTATTCTCAGTCGCAATGTGCTTTGCTATAAGAGAGCAGGCAATTGGCCCCTTCCTGCGAGGGGGTCAAACCCCTACAGTAGTGGTATACGAGTATCGAATACCCAACACATTCCAGATCTCACTGAAGCATAGTGCCATGGAGAAAGCTCTACCGGAACTGATGACTGAGTTGCCCTCGTCATTTACCGCTACCTTGAATACGTCAGAAGAGCGTATTGATGCAGAGGGGTGGGTCATTCAAAATGTGAGGGAGCTATGGTCTTTGCTAATCCGCATCCGCAGTGTATCTGGACGCCAGTCCCTACAGATGAGGCAAACGAATGCGAGCAACGTGTAGAAAAGAGAGCCTCAAAAGCGAAAGAAGAGAAGGAGAGGGAGGACCTCGGTGGGCAACCGCCTTAGGTTATGCAGACTGTAAACCGCAGGGAAGGACCATGAATACCCCCCTGGCAGCGTGGGAAGATCTACAGCAGACTCCCCACGGTGGTCAGATAACACAATTGACCAAAGCAGATGGAATTTCAGAGCAGCAACATCAACAAAATCTGCGCAAATTTGATGGCACTGTGCGTCCCCTCGCTATCCTGCCTCACTTTAATCCATCAAGACATACCCGTGCATCAATGACAAGCAAGATCGTCTCAATCAACACTTGAAGACGCCATAAAATGCTCACTGCCATCATTACCGCCCGGGTCACAGGACCACGAAAACGGAATATCATCCTCGAATCAGATAATACCACAGTGGCATCGAAGAAGCTACGACCAGCCAGGGGAGGGGGATGAATGTAATGGGAGAATAGTCGCAGCCACGATCGAATCCTCACAATAATATACATACATGCAATGGTCGGCGCGAATCCCAGTCCCCGACTAGGTTCCACACGTTTTCTCTCTCACATCGCCGATTCAGATTCTTTGTAGGCAGGGGTAAGGACAAACCTCCTTTTACAGCCAGTGCACTATACCTAGTGATGACCCCTGTCGACATTGTATCTGACACAGCTCCGCAAATGCCACCAAGGCCATATCATTGCGAGGCGGATCGATGGCTTTTCATCGGGCGTCGCATCTAGTGATGAAAGAAATGTATACCACAGTTTCGCCCAGTGGACGAATCTGGAGCCATCTTCCGCGAGGACGTTATACTCTTCCGCGCTGGTTGCGAGCCAGCTTAGCACAAGATACTGGCAGACGTGGTGTAGGGGTTACTGGAGGCAAAACGGGGCGCACAGGGAATCCCACTGAAATCGGTCGATGGATGGCTACCAGACCTGAAGAAGAATGGGTGATCCTTTTTTTATTGCGTGTATTCACTACACTATACTAAGTTGACCTCGCCGAGAGAACAACTACTGAGATGGTTTTGCGCGCGCGGAGGAGTGACGTTCTTGGTGATATGTTCGTGGATGGCGAAAAAGGTACTCCAGACATTATTGCGGGATATAATTAGATAGGTTGTGATCAAATGCTTCAAGGCTAGCTATGTTGGCGGCGGGCTGGTTGGAAGGATACGTGGGAAATGGGGCATGGTTATGGCCGCTGACCAGAACTCAGCATCTCTAGGGTAGTAATGGCACGCTTCTCGAAGTTCATCCTTGATAATCGAGTCCTGTGTTTAGTGGATCTTTGTATAATGTGATTCAACATAAGTCATGGAGTTTCTAGAACAACCTCTAATCAACATGTTCAGTCTTTACAGAAATTTGGCTCAGCCCGACCATTAATCTATCACCTCAGGTTAAATCCACCACCTCAACCCTCACCCTGACCTCCGACACATCAGCCTGAACCCAGAACCCAATGTCCTTGGTCGATTCCACCAACTCCACCTCTCTCTTGACAAACCGATCCCCATCCGCATCTACGCCCGCTACACGCTCATCCTCCGCCTCACTATCCCACTCCTCATCCTCCATCTTCTCCCGACTAACCGGATCCAACTCATCCGTCTCCCACACCAACCTCAGCCCATATGCAGGGAGCCCAAACAACCGCCCCGCGATCGCCTTGACCTGGTACGTATCGAAGGACCTGGGAATCTCCCTCGTCCGGACCACCTCGTCCGGTTTCCCCTCGGACCCACCACACTCGGCTCGCCTCAAACAAAACACAAACTTCACCAACCGCGCAGCCACAGACCGCGGATTCACCACTTTCCCGGCTGCGTCCTCCGCACTCGCCCGCCGGATCTCCGGCTCGCCGTGCAATTCGCACAGCTCCGCATACCGCGGATGCTTGGCCAGGAT